CGAGCCGGTTGACTTTGACGGAGGCCGCGTGCAGGCGTGGCTGAGAGTCCAGAGCGCCGCTTTGCCAGAGAGGAGCACGTCCTGTTCGAAAGAAGTGCAGACTGACGGGAGGCTGAAGGTACTGTCTTAAAAAAATGCTCATGTTCAAGATCCATGGTTATACTTCCTCTGTGGTCCAGATATAACGATGAAAAACAACCGAACAGCGCGCTCGATCACTGAAGTTTTCTTTATAGTTTATTCTTTACAAATAACATTCTCTGAGATGCTTAAACAGTTGGTGCTGCTGCGGTTCTCACAAATCTTAAGTCATTAGAAGTTCATGAGCGGAGCTGTGCATTCACAACGGTTTTATTTTCCATTTAAACGAAGCCGGTGCCCACGAGGTCGGCCCTTCATTTGAGAGCGTCTGTTTGTGGGAGAGTGAAGCAGAATGTCAGCAGACGCAGGTCAGGAGGTTTTACACGCAGATGATATTCATGTGCTGAATGTTGATGCTCAACTCCAGGAAAACGGGTTCAGAGTCGAGGACAGTCGGTTTGGTTTTATTCCAGATGTTCATCACAGACGACACATGAAGAAGCTCAAAGCGCTGCAGATATAAACAGCACCCGTCACAATAACATGCTCGTGTAAGGTGACCCCTCACATGGAAACACATAGATACTCTAACAGCCACAGGGCCAAGCAGGAGGAGACGGTTGGAATCAAGTCTCAGTATTTTCACGTCTCCATGAAGTCCTACGGTTTCTCTAAGCTCTGCTGCTTTTATTGAACTTTGTGGTTGTACACAGTACAGTTAGACTTAGGTTGCAACTTCACCTTATATAAAAAAATAAAACAAAAACATATTAATTAAAATAAAATGTACAATATTAAAGGATGTAGACGTGCATATGGTATAAATTGTTTAGGGAATCGCTCGGGTTGTGTAATGTTGTGGTTGTACTGCAGGGTCACAGTGAGGTCGTTATAACTGAGTCCAAACGATTCTACCAGGATGACTCTCAGACTGAAAGTGAGCTGTGAGGTTGAAGAATGAAAGCCTCTGTGGTGTTTGGTCGGTGGGAGAAGTTCAGGCAGGCGCGTGGGGTCACTGCAGCTGCTGGTGGCTTTCCCGAGGCAGCGTCTGTGCTTTACAGAGAAGCTAAACCACCGTCAGCTGCCTTCAAACGCCATTGATAAGCTCCTCCTCCTTTTTGCCTGTCGGGGGCATCAGGAGAAGCCCGGCTGATGGGTTGTGATGACAATAGCACATTTTTAACTCCTGCAAACACAGATTTTCCTCTGTTTCTGTCACCTGGGACGAATTATTACTTCGTTTTACTGCTTTGACTGCATCAAGAGTTCATGTTTGGTTGCATTCAATAAAAAAAAACAAAAAAAACAGATTTGAATGAACTTAATGAATGAAATGAGATGACAGCGTCAATAAGAAACATCACCACAAGGTGGCAGCAGTTTACCACAAAGTTTGGCCTAATTTAATGTTTTCTATTTAAAAACAACGACGGCACAGATTGAGCTCCTGAAGCTACCAAAATAAATCAGCAAAGTGTGGCGTTGACATGAATTCTGTACAAATTGGGAGCTAGCAGTGGCCTAAAAAAGAGGTCTTGTGCTGGAGGGTAAATTGAACGCCGCCTTGTGGTTAAAAGCGGAATTACACACTAGTACAGCTCAGCTCTAGTTCAACTTTAATTGATATCTACGCAGATATCACACGGACATCTGTAATATCTTTTTTTTGATGGATTTAGAAAGTTTTAAATTCCTTTTTAAGCAAGTTTGTAGAAATCGAAGCTGTGAGCGACGTGTCAGACGCGCAGCTTTAAACTGTTCGCGATCTCCTCGCTGACTGCCAAAAGTGTGAGTGAGCAGATTTGATAATTGTAAGCAAGAGAAGCTCTGTTGATCTCTCAGATTTAGTTACACAATTTCTTTTGCATGGCTCCAAACAGCTGCTGCATTAATGAGTCTGTCCTCAATCACACACGCAAATCCAATTCAGCTCTTACAAATCTGTCCTGCGTGCTCACAGATGTCGAGTTGCGGCCCGACTTTGGAGAGCACAGATTTGTTTAGCGCTCGCTCACGTCCTTATTTTTCTACCTTGGTTTGTCCCGAGATGGTAGTCGGGTCCCCGAAGTGTGGGCGAAGAGGCAGATGTGTCCCCAGAAGCTCATTAATACAGGTTTAGACTTTACACTGACGCAGCCGCACAGTCTATATGTTCCAGTTTGAAGTTGCAGCTCACACAACAGATCCCATCAGCCTTTATTTTCCTCCCAGATTCATCCTCCTGAATAACTGTCCTCTCCCTCCTCTCCAGGCCTCATGTTTCTCTCTCCATTTAGACTTCATTGGCCTCAGCCTTCATTTTCTCTCCCTCGCTCTCATTACTGGGGAATAGCATCTATTTATCCTCCTCTTCCTCCGTCCCGTCTGCTGCTCCTCGGGCCGCCGAATGAATCCATAAAGTCTTGATTTATGCATCGTCTGACTGCACTTTAACTGTCACCATAAAAACAGAGAAGCACGCCGACTTCCTCCTTTCCTTCTTCCTTCTTTAGTTTCTCCTTGCCCTCGTCTTCCTCCCGTCTGACTTACAGCCAGTCCACATAACTGTCCGTGTGCAGGAAATCTATAAAGATGAGGAAGAGAGGGAAGAAAGTTTGTGGATTAGTTTTTAGGGGTCAATTCAGATGACAAAGTGTTATTGTATCAGATTCCTTTATGTGCTTGAATTTGAATTATGCAAATTTGATTGAGCGCGTGTTTGTGCGAAATA